TCGTGGCTAGCAAGAAATAATTTTGATAGAATATATAATAAAATGGTGATAGAATCGTGACATCGTTAGCATCGATAATACTGTGACAAACAAATGATATTTGCTAAATGGTTTGAGAAACCGCACCCATTCGTTAGTGATAAGTTGAAAATGCTTTCGCAAGAGGCGTTTGAAATTAATCTCATGCAATTCAAAATCGCCGGGAAGAATTAATACAGAATTCAAATCTAAAAATGGCATTTTTTGGTGAAAGTACAAAAAAATTCTTCAAAATAATGTATTCTTCTGAAATACTGTCATTACTTTTTAAAAAGCCATCTTGGAGTAAACAAATCGTTCGCGATTATCTTTTAAAAGAAAGCTTCTTTGATAACAGCTGTAAATAAAGGAAATAGTTTAAATGCAGAAAAACTGTCGAATCCTTCCAAAAACATGGGGATTTGAAGAAAGAGCAAAGTAAAGAATATTAACATGTTCAGAAAAGCCTCTGAATTATACGCATCTCGTTTCAAGTAAGGATCGATAGTGGAATGAAAGAATAAATGTAACTATTAGTCAGAACTCATTATACGTATCGAAAGGAATAATAATCCATCGATACTGGAATAAAAGAATAAAATAAAATGAGTAACTAAAAACTATTAGACCAAACCAACTCAGTCAGAACTCATTTCATTACAGCCATCATCAATCTCTCCCATACATGATGACAACTCTAAAAGCTAACATCAACATCATTAAAACTATCATTCAGCTGTAATATTTCAGATGGATGATTCATCCGTTCATCGTTCCAACCAATGCTATGCGCAATCCAATCCGCACAGTTTATTCATCGCAACGATAAATTATTTTCGCTTCTCATCATCCCATCTTCACTAATGTGAACGAACCAACAAATATGCGTATAATCAATAATGATCGAATAGCCATAAAAAGACCAAGAACGATAAAATCGTGTACTATTTGCTGTGAGATGGATGTGAGAATGTTTAATGCGCTCATAGAGTGTTTTCATTTATCTTCCTTTGTCGTGGTTGATTTTATTTGAACTTATAGCAAGATGTCACTGGAAAGAGATTGCAGATAATAGTGGACATCAACGAAAATATTTATCTGCTCTTGTTTGTTTGTTATTACAGTAATGCAAACTCTGATCATCGAATTAACTTAATGTGAGCATTCAGAATGTAATAACAACTCTGAAAGCACACTTTTCATGTCCTTAAAGTGCTGTTGAAGATGAGACAAAGTTTAAGATGATGAAATTCAAAATGAAAATAATCGATGACGCTTATGTAAATGAGATGAACTCGCCCACAAATGGATATTTCAATGGAACGAAAAAATATAGCAAAAAAATAAGTGGTAATGACGACAAAATCATTGACGTTAGTGTGATGGCGAATAAAATGAAATAACAATGCCAGAAGAGAAAATTAACAAATTAAGGAAAAATGAATGAATATTCCAAAAAATAGCCTTCAAGCTCGATAAAACCGCCGTCTTCAGTAAAACTGAAACGGTTCGGAAATGAAACCAAACTGAGAAATGAAATTAATCGCTTAGCTAACCTCGGTCAACAAAGATTCGTTTCCATTGGCCATCTTCAGCTTAGCTTTGCTCCCCGTTCTGTCCTGTAAAACATGAATTAGAGCAGGAATGAACAACGAATAAAACGCGCTTATATTACAATAATAAAATGCATGACGTTCGATAAAATCAAGCAAATCATAGCTTTTATCGCATCGCACTTAACAAAGCACAACCGATGCACTTTGAAAGTTGCGAAATTGGTGAATGTGCTGAGTGATGCAGTACAATTTACTATATAGACTAATTGCAGAAATGAAAATTCGGTCTTCTGAATGGAAATTACTTTCTAAGGGACTCTAATTTTTAGGGCTGCAGAAGTNATTTCATTATGTTACATAAAACGATGGTTGATGACTCTTATGAAAGCAATCAAAATGAATAGCCCTAATGTTGCCCTAAATTTGAACATTCTTGATCCGGATAGTTACTGTTGTTTGGCACATGATACCTAAACCCTGTCGGCAAATCAAACAAGAAATCGCACTTCACATGAGCCCTTCTACAAACATAAAGCGTTTTTTGCATGCTATCATCCAAGTGAAAGTTTTTAATAAGGTCTGCAATGGAAATAACTGAGGCAGTCCAACTACAACAACGCATTTTATCAATTCTAGGAAAGCATATAAATTTCAAAACATGTCTCTTAGTTGAACACATAATCTCAAATGAAATTTGTGCAGATTCGTTATAGATGATTGATTCACATTAAATACGAAGAAGCTGTGTAAAGACAGCTGAATATAATCTATAAAGATATTGTGCATAGGATATTCTCTTTTGCTGTCAGTCAGTTGTAGTTTCTCAAAATATTTTTTGATTTCGTAATCGCATCATTACTGCATTTCTTTCAATTCCGACGAGTTGCATTCAATTAACTTACTCGATTCTTCGGTGTTTCTGATATTATCACTGGCGATTCATCCGACCATATCTGCTGAATGGAGTCATCGTTAGTTGATGAGTTTGTAACTGAATAATTCTGAGTATTGTGTTGCTTCAGTCTTGATGTTAAGTCTGAAAGAGAAATGTTTGCGAGTGAAGAGAATAGCATTCACTCGGATCATGAACGGTGCGTTATGATGTTGCAATGTTCACCGATAAAATGCATCGAAAATCACCATAATATCGAACACCTTTTTTGATTTCCACAAATGATAATGATGTCTTTCACAAGAGAAACATATATATCATAGCACTAACCATCATGATAGCTTTGTTTCGGTGCAGTAAACGACCGTTCTATCTCACGATCTGTAGAAAACGATTTACTTTCTCTCAACGGCATTTTCGTGGGCTTTTCAACGAGCACATCTTGAGATTGCGTTGACTGAATCGACTTTTCCGTTGGGAACGAACTGCTGTCAATGGTATGGCTGCTGATCATTCTCGATCTTCCGCCATCACCGTTTGGTATCATATCAAAGCTTTCGGCAGCTTTAGTCGTTGAATATGTAACTGTTGATGGTGATGTAGTTAAAGTCACGGGTGTCACAGTTTCGGGAGTTATTGTGTCGTTTGTAGAGGAGGTACGTCGTGATCGAGGTGCCGGAGGTGGGATTCTGCGCTGAGGTCGGACAGGTATTAAGCATTGAGCTCCTTGTGTAGCACGAGGTCGATCAAGGCTGACCGGTTTTTCAAGTGAACATCTGAAGCAATCAAATATTTGTAACAGGCGATCGAGTAAGTGAAAAAGAAAACAATGCTGAAAAGCACTTTCCGAAGTTAAAACCTTTTTAAATTACTTTCTAACTTCGAAAAGTGCTTTCAAAATCAGAAAATACTCGATATCGGAATATCAACATGTTCAAAAAAGCACAATTTCGAAGGGATCCTGCTCATCAGCTTTGTCCTTAAACACATATTCCAGTATCATTAGATCAAGAATAATTTCAGCTTTTTAAAAGTATGCATTGTGTTCGAACGATCCTGTTCCATTACTCAAGTATCCTTAGCAATAAGTGAAAATAAGCGAAAGCAGGAAGTCTGACTTCTCTAGTTCAAGTAGCCCGTTAATAAATGAACCATGTGTTTGTGCTAAAAGTAGCTGAAAGATATCCTGAACGCGTAAATGATCACATCAACATGCACATATCACGAAGAAAAGAGTTCTTCAACCAAAAACGTACCGAACGGGGGATGAGGAAGTATTTTTTGATCGTTCAGCGCTATCCGCTCTTCTTCGAGGCAGATTCGTTCTTGGTGTAGAAGGCGCTCGCATTGATTGACGACCACGACGGTCACGACACAACGGAGAGTTTGACTCAGGTGTGGAACCAAACGATTTGGAAATATCTAAAATATGGAACGGCTTCCACCAGATTTGTAACTGTCATGATGTTTGTATAGAAAGTTGAAGTGGAATATGACTGACAACTAATAAAGTATATAATTCAAATGAGAGAAAGGCTGCCGCAGAATTACCGTCAAAAACCTACACGATGAATTGAATGTGCCTTTGATTGGACGATCATCGTCGTACGAGTTATTTCGTGAATGCGGCTGAAATAAGATGCAATAAGGTTAAATGTACTTTTGCATTATTTTCAGCAATCGACTGAAACAATGAAATCTTTTGAATATNACTGTCACTTAATAAGCAATCACGAGCCAAATTACACGAAGAAATGAGCACTCGTAATTGACACTTTCACTATTCATGGTTTACTTTGATTTTTAAACCATGAATATTAAAACTTGATTCGTTAATAGTACTTTGATTTTGTGTTTTTTACATTGCTCTGTTTGCGAAAATGTTTCAATAAATTAGCAATCGTATCAAAAAATCAAAAATCGTACATGGGAATGCTATCATGAAAGTGATAAAATGGGGAGATGAACAGCTATTCATCGGTAAGTGCAACGACTCATTCGATGCTCTTTCATAGAACCTATCAAATGAGCATTAACTGGATGTGTTATTGTATGTAAACAATAAGGAGAAAGTTATTCCCTGATAACAAAACGCCCAAAAATGTTTATTCGTTAAAAGAGCTGTTGTTTTGATCGCTATGGATAAAGACTGGTGAACAGGCAGTACCCAATCATTTTTCTTTATTAATTGCTCTCTTTTGTTCGAGAGATTGGTTACTGGCAATGGCGGTTCCATCGAATTTTAGAGAGATCGATGTCTCACTGATTGGAATAACAATTTGTTGAAACGTTTTAGCAGAAAGCACTCAATTTTTGCTAACATTATACAAATAACTTAAAGTCTGTTAGCGGTGATCAGGTGATGTTGTGACTACTGATTGTGAGAATTAACACTATTGTTTTAATACTGGTCTAAGAGGATTTCAAACTTTGAGTTCAGCTTTCGAAAAATCAAAAAGTTGTTAACCGTTGAACGATTCAAGTCAGCTCCTCGCTCAGTTAGCGCTCTCTTAGCTGAGGACGATCTGGAGCCACTACCCAATCGCTGAAAATCGTACTGCTTCTGCCGCTCGAGACTTTCAACCTGAAATTACAAGTCAATGGTGGCATCCATTAAAATTCACAAGAATGCAACAATGCAGTTTGTATACGAGTGCGCTCAGATGATAAACCCAAACAAATCTGCGATGAAACGGAGAAATGGCAAGTTTTCAATGAACACAAAACATCGAAATGCAGCATATCAACTAAGGTTATGATCACTAACCTCCCTAAGGATCCTCGAGTTTTCTCGGTCATCCTCGCTCAGTATTGAATGCTCCAATGCCGCGTTACTCTCACAGCTCTCCAGAACGTGCTTGTAGAGTTTTGCTTTTTTCAGCATTTCAGCTTCACGTTTCGCACGTTCGATCGACGCCAACAGAGCTGCTTCGGTGCGTTCGCGATCCTGAACAATTCATTTCAAATGCGATTCTCATCCTCCAACAAGTCAACAATCCACTTTTCGGCGGCCAACCTCCAACTGCTTCAGTTTTCTCCTTTCCTCTTCACTCTCCCTCTCACGTTCCAACTCCTCCATTCGCCTTCTCTCTTGTTCTTTTATCATCGCCTCACGTTTCTCGTCCTCAATGCGTTGCGCCTCCAATCGTCTGCGTTCCGCTACTTGCTCATTGTAAATTTGCTTAAGAAAAATCATAAAAGTGGTTTATGACCATTTATAGTCACATCTCAACAGGTAGACTCTAAGCAATAAGATATAACTACTGCAGGACGGGTCAGTGCAATCTGCCGCATAGTTACATGGCTAAATCATGATCTACACGCATAACGTCAGAAANCCCCGATGGCGACCCCAGATCTACAGTGTTAAACTTCCTTCCCACCTCGGTTTTTTTAGCAGCGCGTATCCTTGAGTCGTCATCTGCGCTACGTCGACTCGACGAATTCAACGATGATAACGATTCACTTAGTGATTTACGCAGTGCGTCGTCCATTCCTATAATTTTACTCACCTATCCAATTAACATATTATTAATAATTACACCGCATTATATGCAACTTTCTCTCCAATAACTGTGATTATCATTTTTTTCGTTCATCAACAATCGCTCATTCCAATGAAAATTCCCGTCTGTGAAAAAATACAGCTATAAAATGATTGCCTAATTGTTGAGCAGCTGGACACGTTTGAACTTCACTCGAATGTGGTGATCGCACTGAAGAAGCGTTCGTCGTCGGCATACCGGCCCTTAAAGCGGATAGCGTTGATTGCATTCCAGTCCCAATTGGTGGTAAACTCATAGAAGTTGTGCTGTCTGAAAAACACGCTTTGGCGTTTCAGAAGGCAAAATCTTGGCATTAAGATATTAATAATTTCTACACTGAAATCATACAATTGCGTATAATTTCTGAAAACTGAATGAACAAAGAAAGAAGAATTGAAGGAATGCAGAATACAGCGGTTGCGAATATGAGAGAGTGATGGAATTACACGATGATTAGATTTGAATTCAGAGGGGATCTTTCATGATGCATCAAGTGAATGAATACCGGCGATACTTTGAAATTCAATATGAAACGCTTCGAACTCAGTGAAGATGACAACCTTCATTACTCAAGAAACACAGAAATTGTTGATTATTGAAATTTTTGAGGAAAGTTTCGATCGGTTTTGATTACGGCGACAGAATACTACAAACCGTTTGTGATGTTCTGCATGGTTTTCGCATTTTCATCAATACCACGAGCAACGGTACTGCCCCAATACGGCAAATGATTCGCCCAGTGCTCTGTATATGAGGA